TTTGGGCTGGAAGGGACCTCAAGGATCCTCTCCTTCCAAAGGCCTGCCATGGATTAGGCTGTGCCAGATTAGGTGTTCGAAAGAAATTGCTCCCTGGGAGTGGGGAGACCCTGGCACAGGTTATTCCAGGGATGTCCCTTCCCTGGAAGTGTCCAAGGCCAGGTTGGACGGGGCTTGGAGCAACCTGGGCTAGTGGAAGGTGTCCCTGCCCATGGCAGGGGCAGGAATGAGATGGGCTTTAAGGTCCCTTCCAACCCAAACCATTCCATGATTTCTGATTCCATGAAGTCTGATGCTTCCCCTCTAAATCCCATTCCCTCCAAACCCTGCCAGGATGAAAGAACCACCAGAATCCTTTTAATTTAATGAAAAGAAACCTTCTACTGATAACAGGCAAAGCCACGTGAAGTGCTCAGCCATAAGCACATGAAACCCACCATTCAATGATTCTATAAACCTCAATCTTTAAGCTCCCTTCCAACCCAAACCACTCCATGAATCCATAACTCTTATTAAAGTGGCTTTTAAGTCAGACTTACCCAGTTGAGCACTGGAAAAGCCACGGGGAGTGGACTGAAGAGCTCTGTGCTTGGAACCCAGCAGGAGAGAGCTGAGATCCGAAGTGGTTTGAAGGCTCTGGGCTGCAGGTGCTTTTTATACAGTTCCTCAGCTTGCCCCGGGGGGGAAGTGAACCTTTCCTGGCCTCCCTTGTGCCTCCTTGTCCCTCAAATACACTTTTTTTTTGCACCTGTCACTCAATCAAGGTAATTGGGGTCATTGTTTCTCCTGAGCAGCTCCACCTCAGATGGTTTTAAATCTCCATCCCAGCCCGGAGACTCCGTGCCTGTCAAACAGGGAGGGTGATTTCCACCTTTGTTTTGACTCTGACAACTTTGCTGGGAGACACAGGGAGATGGATCCTCAAATAAACTTTTCAGATTAGGTTGCTGTGTTATAACTTAGCCAATGCCTCCACCTGGCCTGGCCATTTCTTGGTGTTTGCTGGTTTTTCACAGGGTTATAAATGCCAAGACAGAGCAACGTTTGCCCAAAGCCACGTTATAGAATCCTGGAATGGTTTGGGTGGGAAAGGACCTTAAGGATCATCTCTTTTCACCCCCTGCCATGGGTAGGGACACTTTCCACTAGCCCAGGTTGCTCCAACCTGGCCTTGGACACTTCCAGGGATGGAGCAGCCACAGCTTCTCTGGGCAACCTCTGCCAGGGTCTCCTCACCCTCACAGGGAACAATTTATCCCTAATATCCCATCTAACCCTTCCCTCTGTCAGTCTGAACCCATTCCTCCTGTTCCTGTCCCTCCATCCCTTGCCCAAAATCTCTCCCCACATCCCTTGTAGCCCCTTCAGGTCCTGGAAGGCCCCAATCAGGGGTTGAACAATCCCAAACTCTCCCAGCCTTTCTGATGGATCAGAGCTGCTCCATCCCCCTGCTCAGCCCCTCTGGGTCTGGGGGGGTCTCAGCTGAGGGGGCAGAGGGGCAGAATCCCCCCCCTGCCCTCCTGCCACAGGGAAGGGGTTCTGGGCTGGGTCATGTCCAGCCTCTCCATCCTCTTTTCTGTTGCTTCCAGCTCTCCAGACAATGGTCCTTGACTCAGTGTCGGCGCAGGAGATGAAAGGATGTGCCAAGGGCTCCTCCCAGCTTTCCCTCTGAATCAACAGGTGCGTTATTTTGCCTCAGACTTTTAATAATCCCATTAAGAAATCAACAATAAAAAAAATTGCCCAATTCATTTGGGTGTTGGACAAATGAGTGGTTGTGTATAAAGGGGGTGAAAAAACAAGGATTTTGCATTGTCTTGAGATAAGGAAACACTAAGATTGAGAAATAATTATGGGAGGTATTAAACTGCTGTGATCACAAAGCAAATGTGATTTCCAGGGAAGGAGTTACAGAGGATGAGGTCATTTCGAGTCTGAGGGGGAAGAAAACTTTTGGGTGAGGACGAAGAAAAGGATGATTCAGAAGTTTTGGGGAAAAGGTATTCACCACAAAGCAGGCACCTGCTGATCTTTGTTTTCCTTTTGGAAGGACCACTCATCGCTCCCAGCTCAGGAGAATCTGTGACTGGTACAGACCTTCCCTCTGAAAGGTGCTGAGCCCACAGAAAATGTTCTGGCAACCAGAAAACCCAGGTTTATTAAGCATTAAACCATAATTTTAATATTTTAAATATATTTTAAAATATCTTATATATATATTATATATATTTAATATATTTTAATATTTTTAATATATTTAAATATTTCAATTTATACTTTTATATGTATTATATATATATATTTATATATAAATACTTTCATATTGAAACACAAAAGCATTTTATTTTTCCCCAGCAGGTCAAACCCTGCTCTTTTCAAGCCTGTAACACCCACGTGAAACGGGGAATCACTGCTGATGATTTTCTAACAGAGGTGATTAAGACAGAGGCCAAATGATTTACCAACCATCCCTTGGCAACGAAATGAGCCTCTGGGAGGAGATCCCGGGCATGTCTTGTACTTGGGAGTGTTATTATTTATAATTATAATTCTATTATCTCTTGGCTCATGGAAACAGATACCACGAAAACAGAGAGCTCCGAGTCAGCCCTGCCAGGAAAACCAAGGAGCGAAACCAACTTGGGGTCAGGGCTGGTGAAAGGAAGGATTATCAGACCCCACCAGGATGGGGCCTCCTGGGGAGGGTTGTCCTCACCCCAAGGCAGGACAGTGAGGGCACCAAAAAAACCTCTCCCCAGATTTTTGGGTAGTGGAAATCAGCTCCAGACCCCCCCTGGGCCTTAATCTCCACCTTGCCCTGGGTCTGCACTCCGTGCCATTTTTTGGGTTTTCCAGGTTGGGTTTTCCCCCTGAAGGGCCAAAACTCTCCTTCCCAAAGTAGGTTGAGGAGCAACACCAGGCAACGTGTGTGTGTTTATAACAAAAGGCCAGTGGAGACAGAGCATTTCCATCCCACCTGGAGAAGCCACAGGAATGCAGATTACAGCCCTCAGCAGGGCAGGGACAGGGCTCCTTCCACGGCTCCTGCTGCCAGGAGGGAACCATCACGTGTAACCCAACTCGGCCCTGCAATTAAAACAAACCCCGTGAGCTGCATTTTGGAGTGGAAAGTCCTTTAAGATCATCAAATTCGGGCGCAGGAGGACCCAGTGTTTTACCCCTTCACTTTGTTCTGTGTTCTGGGTGAGGAGCTGGCCATAATTCCTCACTTGTAAATGCATTTAATGTCAAATCCTGTAACGAGAGCAGGATTTTACATGGGATATTTTGGACCAAAGTGGCACATTTTGGACTTTTGTGCTTGGAAGCTCGGGCAAGTGGAAGGAGGAAGTTCACTTTTTGTGCTGAGCAGAAAGAAACCATGTAAGGGTGAATCCCAACCTTGTTTTGAGCTGAAAGGTTCCCGTGGGCTGTGATACCACTCAGCTCCTGGTTGCCCAAGAGCAAACAATCTGCAAGGATCCCTCCACCCGCTGCCGTGACAAATGCAGGGAAGTTTGGTGTGTAACTGGGAAGGGCTGAATGCCCAAAGGGTGGCTCAGACCCTGGAGAACAGTATAAAAGTGCTCCAAGCACGGGGCTCTTCAATCCACTCCTCTTGGCTTCTCCTTGGTGCTCAACCAGGTAAGTCTGACTCAAAAGCCACTTTAATAAGAGTTTTGGATTCATGGTGTGATTTGGGTTGGAAGGGAGTTTAAAGATTGAGGTTTATAGAATCATTGAATGGTGGGTTTAATGTGCTTATGGCTGAGCACTTCACGTGGCTTTGCCTGTTATCAGTAGAATGTTTCTTTTCATGAAAATAAAAGGATTCTGGTGGTTCTTTCATCCTGGCAGGGTTTGGAGGGAATGGGATTTACAGGGGAAGCATCAGACTTCATGGAATCAGAAATCATGGAATGGTTTGGGTTGGAAGGGACCTTAAAGCCCATCTCATTCCACCCCCTGCCATGGGCAGGGACACCTTCCACTAGCCCAGGTTGCTCCAAGCCCCGTCCAACCTGGCCTTGGACACTTCCAGGGAAGGGACATCCCTGGAATAACCTGTGCCAGGGTCTCCCCACTCCCAGGGAGCAATTTCTTTCGAACACCTAATCTGCCACAGCCTAATCCATGGCAGGCCTTTGGAAGGAGAGGATCCTTGAGGTCCCTTCCAGCCCAAACCACGCTGGGATTGCAAGGGGAACTTCTTGCTTTGACTGAACGAGGCTCCCCTTTGCCAACCCCCCTGTTCTCCCCTCTCTCTCTGTGTGTTCCAGACTCAATCCCAGCCAGCAGGATGTCCTTCTACAGGCAGCTGTGCCCCTCCAGCAGCTTCTCTGCCTGCGAGGTGAGCTGTCCCCAGCCGGTGGCCGACGCCTGGAGCCAGCCCTGTGTCACCTCCTGCGGGGACTCCCGGGCCGTGGTCTACCCTCCTCCCGTGTCCATCGTCTTCCCGGGCCCCATCCTGAGCTCCTGCCCCCAGGAGAGCGTGGTGGGCACCTCGATGCCCGTGGGGCTGGGAGGTTCCTTTGGCTGGGGGAGCTCTGGGGTCGCTCAGAGCTCCTTGGATTGTGGAGCTTCCCCGTACGGCCGATAT